GGACATTCACAATTTAGAGACATCAAATTGAGCTACATTCTCTATGGTACGACACAATTGTTGTACCACATCCAACTGAGGATCCCAGCTCCATCGAATTGGCTAGGATTCATTCGATTTGATACTGCTACCAAAGAGGATCCCAGCTACATCAATTTGCCTGCTACTAGGACACTTTAAATCATTTTCCGCCAAATAAAAAATCCACAAAACAAATCATGAGATACCACTGTAGTGAATGTGTCCCCATGAGATGGATGGTTGCAGAAAGACTTTGGGTTGAAATGCCAATTGAAATTTGAAACGGCATTGGAGCAACATAAGGCAGTGCAGGCTAATTAACAGAAGCATCATTTTGCCTCTCCTATATTCACACACACACACACACACACACACACTTCTCCAAAAACTGTTTTTGTATGTAGATAAAGTAAGTAAATTCAAGCTTGTGAAACTCATATTAAAGTCATATGGCATGTGATATCTTTTTGTTGCTTTCTTGGTGGGCTAATAAAGAAAGTGAAAACCACACCAAAACCTCTGATGAAGGGGAGATATACCCTACCACAACCTCTAACACCTTTGATGAATAATAATAATTATTTCTTGTCTCACATGCTATTATTATTTATCATCCTTAGCTTCTTCCCTTTTATGAATTATGTTACACATTCACATGCACTACATAATAACTTTTCTTTGGGCAGGGAACAAATATTACTCTAAATCTACAAAATCATTGATAAAGCTTGAGAAGTTGAAGCTGTGGCAAGGTATTTGGAAATTGTCTCTCTCTCTCTCACACACACACACGCACACGCACATATATATAGGGACTATCAACCTAATTAACACCGAATGCATGGATGTGGTGCAGCCATTTTGTTGAGACACCAGTAACCAGCAACTCAATTTCTTGATTTTGCAGAAACTCTATGCTCATTGATCCAACAATTCTGCCAATGTCCTGATACATCAGTCTCCTCTCCTTTACTATCATTATAATCTTAACTTCCCAATCAGCAAATATCTAAAATCCGACTGATAACAAATACGCTATGAACTAACCTCAAGTCATGATGAACTGTGCAAACACTCCAGGTTGTATAGCACCACTTTCTTGCCCACATTTGGCACTACAATTAAACACATGCAAGGATATCCCATTTAATTTTTTGAGATAGTAGAAAACAAGGCGGAGAGAGAGGGACTTTATTTAGTTCTAGGCTTTATTATTATTATTATATATACACACATATATATATATATATGAGGGCTGTTATTTGGTTCAGTGGTATAACGCTTGAATATTAGTTCTATTGATGCGAGTTCGAATCTCAGAGCAGCCACTCTGTGAAATACCAATGTTAAGCCTTTTTCGAGTCCTCCCTTCCTATGACCCCATTGGAGTGGGACCAAAATTGGATAATGTTCCTGTGTGTGTGTGTGTGTGTGTGTACACTAAGCATGATCGGAGTGCCTTGATGGAGTTTCTCTTGGATAAATTCATTGTTTGGTAGCTAGGTGTTGAATCATGTGGCTCAAATTTGAAATTGCATCGCCCATTACATGAGCTGGGGACCACCAAGCTTCCATCAGACAATTGAATTCAATTACATACTTGCTGTGATTAGCAAATATGCGTGATCCGCAAGGCCTTAGTTGATGTTTTTTTGGCTATAAATAGCCATGTAGCTCTTTCATTCCACATCATTCAAAATTGAGAGTATTTGTTCAATATTAATAAAATAAAAAAAGTGTGTGAGAGTTTGGATGTAATTTTGGATTTTGGGTGTGAATCACTTAGCCTTGTATCTCTTTATTTACATAGTGAAATATTATTATGTCTTCTCCTAATGGACGTAGGCATAACCGAACCACGTAAATCTTTGTCTCATTTATATGTGCGCTATTTTATTTTCTTGTCATTTATTTTATCTTTTGTTCTCATAAACTCCTATTCGATCTTTATTCCATAACACTAAGCTATGAGTGGTGGGAGGCTATGGATTGTTGACATCCTCCATACAGTAACAGATTTTGGTCATTGAGCAACGGAGGGTGTCCCAACCTCTTTTCGGAGTGTGATTAACTCCTTTGGATACCGCAATCATCCCTAAACCAGGGTATCGAGTAAGCACAAGCATGCCTAGAGGCCTTATGACAATCCAGCTACCCCAGGGGTAGCTTTTTGGTGTGTCCATATATTTTTGGTTTATATAATACGTGTAACATATAACAACCGATATATACGATTATGTTAGAAAGTTGTGCCTTTTGCCGTATAGTTGGCTTCCAAAAGGCACACGTGTTATATATATATAATTATGTGTGACATTTCATTAGCGTATTATAAGCGAATTAACTAACTGCACCTTTTTTTAGGGATTAGAGTGATTTACTATTTACTGATAGCACCTTATTCGAGAACCCTGACTGATGTGAGACAAGGTAGTAATTTTATATGTTACACCAAATTTTTAATTCAATTTGGTAATCATCAGTGGCTGGACATGGCTGTAGTAGTCTACTACAGACAGACTATAAAAAACAAACAAATAAAAAAAAAAAAAAAAAATACCCAGCGCACACAAACACAGAGAAGGGCAGTGAGAGCATCATTGTGAACCAACTTATAACATATATTTTGTGAGAAGGAAATATGACATGCAAATATCAGCACACCTTGGAGGAATTGAATTGAGTCGTGCAACAAATGTTTATTTACATAACAGATATAGCTGATATATGATCCAAAAGCACCAGGAGCAGGATGCAAAACAGTAATAAAAAGAACACACAAGTTCAGGGAAAAATAAGAGACAAGAGTGTGAAAAACTATGAAAAATGCTCAATACATATGCCTAAAGATTACAATGATAAGTCGAAGAATGTGATAAAAATATTATTAGAAAATGAAACAAAAGCTTACTTCCAAGTTTCAAGATAACAAAGATTATTATTATCTATAACAATTTTATCAGTAGAGTTGTCACATAATAGACCAACAGGGTGGCACTAATTGGCATAAGATAAATAATTACCTGAAGTTGCCATTTTTTCAGTTCCAAGGGATCAAAAAGTTCATAAACACAAAAAAAAAATAAAAAATAAAAAATAAAAAATAAAAAATAAAAAACTTGGACAGCGACCGTAAAGGAATCTCAAATAAACACAATGACTGTAAAGGAATCTCAAACAAATACAATGATGAATAATCATTATAATTATAATTCAGAGTTTTTAATATACTCTGCTATGAAATAATACAATTTATAAAAATATTACAAAATAGGAACTTCAACAGAAGTATTGAAAAGGTGTAAAAGATTACAAAATAGGTTGCTGCCCTAGATGTGAAAGAGATTGGAAGACTGCAGTGGCTGAAGATGAAAAGGTGCACAACACTCTTAAAGGGGAAGCGAGATAGACCTAGATTGAAGTCTTTGTGCGGTCAGATCTCCATCTACACCAAACACACACAGGGGTACAGAATCGACACCCCGTGACTGAGAGGCTCACTTGGATTAGGGGAGCAACAAGATCAGTCCCTAAATAGTTCAACATTTGGTCCTGGTAACATTTGGGATTTCAAGGGGCTAGAAAGTCAACTTCAAGTCCATGCGAGTATGAACATAGACCCAGAGCAGAGCGGTGAAACCCCAAGGGGCTGATAATCCCACACCCTATCAAAATTCTACCATTTGGGAAGACTTTGACTGATTTGGTGCTGCTTCTTCATCTCGCTCATTTATGCTTGTGATTTGCACCTTTTTATCTTGCTCTTTCCTTGATTGATTTGAACACATACGTGAGTAGAAAAAAGAACCCACTGGCAAGGTACGCGTTCTTCCTGCGGGAAACCTACTTTCTACTCTTATTATATTTCTTTTATAGGTGGGGGTACATGTAGATACTTTTTTTACGAGAATAGCTATCCGGTCATATGCTAAACACAACCCAAATACCATAGACTCCACAAAAAAGGGAATTTATTGCATAAAAGCTTCCCATATTGATAAGAAATGTGGATAAACATTCATTAGTAGACCATAAGAATAAGAGAATTCAAATATTCATTTTCAAAGGGATCTACTTCGAGAGGTTTTGTCTGAACATGATAGACAGGATTTGAGGTCAATGAGATAGAACTCATACTCTGGGGGAGACATTAATTGTAATCCCTTTCCAAAAAGGTCTCGTTTTTAGAGTCCTAAAAGTGCCACGAGAGGCAGATATTAAGATTATAGGATGCCGCTAATAAGGAAACCACCCCCTAGCTAGCGAAGACCGTTGGCTGAATGGCTTCGAACCTTGACGCTTGCCCTCGTAATATTATGTACAATGAGGCGCAACTACTTATAGGTCAAATCATTATTAGGGATTGAGTTGGCCAAAAGAGTGGAGTTGACCGAGGAACTTGAAAGGAAGGGGGGGATAGACTTAAACCAAAGAACTGTGAAGCAACAAGGATAAATCACAGAAATAAAACTGAGGAACTACTTACGAACCCTAGATCAAAAGGTGCAGGTGAATGATGAAGAACCTGGATCAATGAAGTTGAAATGGAAAGCATTCCATTGAACAATCCAGGAGCCAATCCATGGCCACGGACGGTGGTTCTATGAAAGGAATATTCTGCCTTTACAGCGTGCCCATAGACTTCTCCATCTCTCTCTATGTATCTCTATATGGATACGTGTCTATGACAATATATATATATATATATATATAAATTTATAAATATGAGCTTGCCCAGATGTCAACCTTTTGTGCCATTTCTTGAGGATAATATCATAAACATCTCATTCTACAGTTAAAAAGAAGAGAATTACGGCCAAACAAGCAAGAAAGAAAACCTTATCTAAATCTTGAAAGCTATGACGATGGCAGTTAAATCAAGCAGAGGGGTTGAGGGCTTACAAGATATGGACTACTTGGGAGAAGCTAGTTACACGCTACCACTTTACTAAACAAAAACTATATTCCAAGCAGTGAAATGAGGAAAATTTCTTCCATTAATCATTCAAATTGCAAAACAATCTCATACAACTGAACTTGAAATTCAACAAATTGTTGTGATGAAATTCATTCTGTACTCTTCAATATTGTCAAAGTAAAATGAACAATGCAACAATTAGGCACATTAAATTCAGCTAATGATTTGCGACTTCGAGAAACCTAACGCATTGTTTGGAAAATAATGGCATGAAATTTTCCATAAAACAAAAATGTCATCTTAGACTATACAGAATTTAGAACAGATCTTGACGCTCTTGCATCTTCAGTTGTACCTGCTGCTTGTAACTTGACTCAGCTTGAGATTTGATCTAGAACACACGGCAGTTCTTGCTCGGGCAGTGCATGTGACAGACCCATAGAATTTGTGCACGAATGTTGAGTATTGCTTGTAAGAATCTCCATCTTTGCTCCTTTGTTCTGTTTTCTCTTGATCCGACAAAGAACCCACTCTTGAAACTGCATCATAACACAAAAACAAAACAGTTAGATGACAAGATGATGAAGATCACACTAAAAATAGTAAGCAAATTGAAAATTTCAGAAAAAAATAAAGTATGTCTTACTTTATCAGAGTCAAGTCTAAATTCATGCATAATCCAATCACTCTTCGAGCATTTATTACAAATTGGATTACTATCTTTGTAGCTGTGAAATTTAAGACTCTTCATATAACCCTTGCGTTTCCCTGGAATTAGCTTGTCCCCTTGGGTGGCCTTCCACCATCCTCCTCTAAGCTTCCTTGACGGCCTCTTCCCATTTTCTTTTGCAGATTTCTTCTCTCTTTTAACATAATAATATCCTTCCGAATACTCTGAACACTTGGTATCATCTGCTACATCCAAAGACACATTAGTTAGTTGTAAACCATATTGACATTAAATATTCAAAACAAAATGATATTAAATCACACTAAATAGATTAAGAAAAAAAAAAAAAAATTCTCTTCTAGTCCACTGCCCTAGGTCAATTACTTAGGCAATTGTATATAGAACGGGGAAATAATTTATCACTGCCCTAGGTAAATTATTAAGAAATCATTAAGAAACGAAAGAATGCGAACAAGGCATATGTATCTTATATCTAAATTCAATAAATTAAAGAACATCAAGAAAATTGTATGATAACGTACTATATATATATATATGTGTGTGCGTGTGTAATTATGCATGTATGTACTATATATGTGTGTGTGTAATTATGCATTTATGCATATGTATCAAGAAAAGATATTACGTACCAATAAGAAAGCATGGTTCAAGTTCTTGAACTTTCTTCTCTACTACAGCATTGGACGGCTGTTGGAATCCATGAACGAAACTCCACAAGTAATCAATAAGTTCTTCGTTCGTGGGTTTGAATCGAAACCCTAAGGGCAGTGAAGTTGAAGAGATAGGCATCTGATCAAATTTCTCTCCTCTAACAATGGTATTAAATCAGGTCTTCTCCTTGTTTTTTCAGCAATAAAATAAACCTATAAATATAGGTGAATAAAGGATTAACATGTGACACAGCAGAGTTAACTTTATAACAACAAACTATTAACTCTCTTGCAATATACTAATATTAGTCCAATATAATATGCATGAACGTAATGTATGTAATATAATACGATACAATATTTGTATCTATGACCAAAGAACTGTCAAGCCACAAGGATAAATCACAGAAATAAAACTGAGGAACTACTTACGAACCCTAGATCTAAAGGTTTGACAAATTGGAAACTAGAGAGAGAGAGAGAGAGAATTGATACCAGATTGCGTTGGTGGCCTATTAGTGGTTGCTGATCGCCGGAAACGAAGAGGAATTGATACCAGATTGCGTTGGTGGCCTATTTGTGGTTTGCTGATCGCCGTCAAGCTGTGTGCAAAACAAAGCGGAAACGAAGAGGAATTGATTTGCCCTAAATCTTATTCCTCCCAAACAAAACATGTACTAATAAATAAATAAAATATTAATCAAGCGGTCCGGTTTGATTGGACCGCCAATTATTTTACCGGTTTAATCAAGCGGTCCGGTTTGACATGTGAACACTTGGGTTTGGGCCTCAACTAAGCATGTGCCATGTTTAATAACTTATAACGAGAGACTATACTTATTAGTGTGTGAATGAGTTTTTTTTTGTCAAAATTAAAAAATAATTAAAAGTTTATAACTTGATTAAACAATACCAATACTATCTTAAGTTTTATCCTATTTAAACCTCGTAAATTCAAATTCATCTATAAAATAATTGTGTAATATATTATTGTATATTAAAAAATGTATTTTCTTTCTTATTTTCTTCAAATTATCATGAATTTAATCACAAAATTGAAGCTAACACTTGGATCCGGCAAGTTATAAAAACTTGCTTATTAGTTTTTTTTTTTCAATTAACCTTATAGTCATCGACAATGTGTTTTAGAATTGTATTAGAACTCCTATTTAAAAAAATGTATTTACAAATCTATCCCATTATAGTGTCCACGAGTATCACAAAGATCAACCACGTATCAAATGGACTTGAACCATCTAATAATTTATCGCATTAAGACGGCCTTAACACAATGTGCACCCTGAATTGGCACCATTTGAATATACTAATAATACACACCTGTGATGCATATGCATGAACAAAAGTATTTATATAAAATTTGTTTTATATATTTATTAGAATAAATAATATTATATAAAATTAAATATATGAATAATTTTGGGTATAAAATTTAGTTTAGGATTTTATTAGTAGGTTATATAAAAGTCTATTCATTAGAGAATTATTTTTATATATTTATTGAATTATATTATATTATAAAAAATTAAAAAGATATTATTAAAAAATTATAATATAAGAATACTTTTGTGTATAGTTTTTTTTTTTTACAAGATAAGAAGGGTTAAAAGTTAGATTAGTAAATACAGAGAGTCAAAGTATGACACTTTTATATATTTTTTAGTATAGAATTGAAATTATGTAATACGCAATATAATTCTTTAAGCATAATGTAATATATTACCCATACCAATTACCCATATACAAAGTATATGGCTTTTAAAACTCAAAAATTTACCTTGGGCAGTAGACTTAGAAGAGAATTTGGATGCTGAATATTTAATAGTCCATTTAATAAGTTCACTAAAACCAATTATACACAAAACAAAACAAAAAAAAAAAAAAATTACTAACGGTTTCTGCCTGCCTAAAACGACATAGTATTTTAAGTCTTATTAAATGGGCTGATGTGGTGTAATTTTAGTCATATATTTATTTAAAATGACATGTATTAATATATAAGTGATTCAACTTATGATAATGTAGATGATTTTTAACTTAGAGGATCCTTGTCCCCTTCGTTGAGGGTTGCTCTTGCTTAATGTTACCTGAAAATATATTTATACTCTTCTACTCAGCTCTGCTTGCTTTCTTCTCCTTCTATAATTATTACAAATAAAACATAAAATGTACATATAACAATATTTAAATAATAATAATAATACATAGATATTGACTACACAAAATGATGATTTTTGCACCTTTATCAATATGATTTTAGAACCCCCATAACATAATGCATGTTGAACTCGATGAAAAAAAAAAAAAAAATGATCTGAATTAATCTCAATATGAAATCCGATTGATTTTTTTATTTTTAATTTTATTTTATTTTATTTTAAAAGAACTTGATTCACCAGAGAAAAGAAGCATGAATTAAAAAAAAAAAATTACTGAAATAGAAACATTAGTTGTTTCTCTTATATAGAATTAGTATTTGATAGTGTAAGGAAATTGAATTGGAAGGAAAGTTTGAATTGTACAAGAATTTGAAAGACAATAGAATTCGAAAAAAAAATTTGTATAAAAGGAAATAAATAATTATTTTTTTTCTCTTTTTATAAATAAATATTGGTAGAGTTTTACAAAAATAAATAAATAAATTTTATCTCTTTTTATAAATAAATACTGAAACTCTTTACACTTTTCATACTAGTACAAATATAGATATAAATAAATACTAAAAGAGTTTCGTAATAACACTTTTACCTCATGTGACATGTTATAACTTAATTATAATAAGGTCAATACTACCTACTGTGCTACACCTTTTCACATTTCAAAGAGGGTTAAAATTTTTTTTTAGATAATATTAGTGTGTGCATGAGTGTTTTTGTCAAAATTAAAAAATAATTAAAAGTTTATAACTTGTTTAAAGAACACGAATACTAGCTAAAGTTTTATCCTATTTAAATCTCGTAAATTCAAATTCGTCCATAAAATAATTGTGTAATATATTATTGTATATTAAAAAATGTACAATAATAACCGAAAGGCATGGCATGATCCCGTCTTTTTATTTTCTATTCATTGTTTGGATTCATGAGGCCTCAAGAGGTGTGTGTCTTAGGCACCTCCTACTAAACTTATGCTCACCCCTTTATATTAATATTTTTCAGGTCACGGAAAGGAGGTAGCGGATGATAATCCACCACAAACATGAAAAGGACTAGGAGGGTGTTTTGTAACCATTTTGTATTTTGAGCTCAATATTTTGTAAAGTGTTAGTTGAACATGTATTAAGTTATATAGTTTGGTCATGTAACATAACTTTGAGCCTTGACTCTATTTTTGTTGTAAACATGAATCTATGATGGAAATCTTGTAATGAAAGAGAAGTGATGTATATTTTTGAAATGAATGACGTTGTAATGTGGAAAATTTGTTGATGATTATATCTATAGGATGCAGAAAGTCATTTAATAATGCATTGGGACAAGTTTAGACCAGTTTTCAAAGTTCCTACCTTAGTTTTATTTCATTTTCTCATTTTCAGTTGTTCAGCAGCAAATTTTCATTTCGCAGGGCCATTTCGGCTGACCAAAATGGCTACTTCGGTCAGCCGATCATTCCAATAATCTTGGTTACTGTTTAGATCACAACCGGCCGACTGAAATGGCTGCTTTGGCCTACCGGTACAGGGGGGCTACTTTGGCCTACCGGAGCTCCATTTTGGTCGACCGAACTGTAGCTACCTGGTGATCTTTTGCTCCTTCTTTGGTATAGTTAACCTTGAGTATCGCATTGTTATTTAAAGCCCTTCTGAAGCATATTTAGGACACAAGGATGATGCGTTGACCTTAGACATGTCATGGTTTAACTTAGGTGACCTCGGGTTCGGTTAAGGACCCGGTTAACGGTTCGGGCCTACAGGTTCGGGTCGTTACAGGCATAGCCGAACTACGTAAATCATTGTCTCATTTGTGTGTATGCTATTTTATTTTCTTGTCATTTATTTTCTTTTTTGTTCTCACAAACTCCTATTCGATCTTTATTCCATAACACTGGGCTATGAGTGGTGGGAGGCTATGGATTGTTGACATCCTCCATACTGTAACAGATTTTGGTCATTGAGTAACGGAAGGTGTCCCAACCTCTTTTCGGAGTGTGATTAATTCCTTTGGATACCCGCAATCATCCCCAAACCAGGGTATCGAGTAAGCACAGGCATGCTTGCAGGCCTTATGACAATCCAGCCACCCCATGGGGTAGCTTTTTGGTGTGTCCATATATTTTGGTTTATATAATACCTGTAAAATGTAACTTAGTGTTGGTTTAAAAAAATATATTATATCATAGTATATGGCATTGTCTATGTTAGCGATGCAATTAATCTTTCACAGCTTGGTACTCCCTAGGCTTGATACCTGAAGTTTTACAAAACTAAAAATGTAATGAAAGAAAACCAAACTTAAAACGCGATGAATGAAACCAAATTACATCCACAACAATTTCTCGACGTCCATTTATGCAGAATAATTAAAAATGGTCACTTAAGGCACGTGACCCCCTATACACTGTAAAATTGGTCACTTAAAGACTTATGACCCCCTCGAGCATGAGTAAAAAGCATTAAAAATGTACAATCATAAAAGAATATTATCAAAGTTTGGAGCCTCAGCATACCCTATTGCAATTTAATGTTAGCCCACACTAATTATAACAACCCAATATAAATTAGCCTAATTCAGTTACATTAAACATTTAGTTTACTTTATTTTTAAGTCCAACTTTATAACAACAAAATATTAATTCTCTTGTAATATACTAATATTAATCCAATATGATATGTATGATATGTAATATATAATGTAGGGCAAAGTGCAATAAACCCCATTCAACTATACCCCAAGTGCAACTAACCTCCCTCAATTACAAATAACTCCCCTCAACTATGGTCTTGGTGTAGTCTTAAACCAGAGAAGGTTTTTCCGGTCATCTCCTATCACCAAAAATTAGAAAAGTCTATTTTACCCCTCTATCCCTTGGAAGTTTAAAGACCATATTGCCATTTTAATTACTGTAGACCCAAACCCACACAAACGTTGCCCTATTTCTCTTTCCAAAAAAAAATCCCAACTCCCTTTCAGGCATCTTTCGGGCCATCTTACTTGATCTCTCACTTAACTTACAGGATTCCTTTTCAATCCTTTATCTCTCTTTGTCTATATATATATAATCATTCAGTCTTTTAATTTTGCGAAGGGTGTGGGACTGTCTCTGTATGTATACGTATATACATGAGGGATAAGGCTGACGAAAGAAGTGGGAATTACGCCGGAGATTTGTTTGCCGGAGAAGTTAACTATAGTGTAACTCAATTTGCTGATGTCGGAGGGAATGGCACCGGTCAATCGGTTCCCAAAGAGGCCTAAAATTCTGAGATTAGCAAGGGGGTGATGCACCCTTTCTCTCTCTCCATCTCCATCACTTCTCCGACCACCAGCACTCTTCTCTCTCTTTCTGAAAAGTTCTCTATTGGCCTTAAATACAACCATCTGCCATGCCAATGACCAAATCATCCCACTCCAATCCATTGATGGCATCCATGCTTCGATGGTGAAAACAAACCTAGAAATTGTAGGTGAGTACTTTG